GGGTACAGGGGATCCAGTGATGAGTCAGACATAGTCCCATGGTCCCTGCCCTCAAGAAGCTGCTATTCTAGTGGGGGAGTAAGGCAAATAAAGATACTTGTACAGTTATGGGCTCAGTGCTGTTAGGGAGGCTCGTGGGGGCACAGAGGAGGGACATCTAAACCAACGGTGCAGGAGAGAGAGGGGTTGGGAAGAGGTTGGTCAGGGAAGGCTGCCTAAGACAATGATCTATCAATGGTAGGATGCTGGGTCCCAATCCTTACGGGGGGTGTGAAATCCACTTAGTGCATAGTAACCAGAATTTTTTAAAAAATAGAGAATATCCTCGTACATCTTATGTACAAAGAATACCACAAATGTGTGTGTGTTTGTGTGTGTGCTGGGTTGCTTACTTCAGGTCAGGGTCCAAAGGTTTGCGAGCCACGGTCTGAGAAGATCCTTGCCGGCCCGGATCCCCAAAGCCTGGCACACTGTTGGCACTCAGAAGCTTTTTGATGAGTGGAAGGCTGGATTTGGATTCTCACCACCATCCAGCAAGCAGGTACCATCCTCCCCAGGTAAGAAAGGCATTGTCCAAGCTCAAGTCTAGCAAACCCGGGTTTGTCGAGTGTGCTTGGCACTCAGCCATTGGCAGTTCAGCAGGCTGAGGTTTTCCAGGCAGGCCTAAAGCAAGCTTCTCTGCCTGGGGACTGAAGCCAGGGCGAGGCGAGGGGGGGAGCCGGGGCCGTCCGGAGAGGCCCGAAGGTGAACCAAAGGCGACCCTTCTGCGGGTGCCCCAGCCCATGGCCTCCTATAAAAAGAGTGTCCCCGGCTCTGACCCACCCAGGTGGCATGTCCTTGATAACAGCAGTAGCTCAGGCCACTCTGTTTCTCCTGGGATGGCCTCAGACACCACCACGGGCCTGCATCACCAGCAGCCCTGGACCTTCAGGACGCCAGCAGGAAGCACTGTTTATGGGGGCAGACCAGAATGCAGGGGAGAAAGGGCCCCAGAGAAAACAGGAGATGGACAGAAGTCCGAATCGGTCCCTGGCAGGGTGAGGTGAGTCAAAGGTAATGACTAGGTGGCCACAAACAGAGACTCCTTTTAGTGGTTTTCGGGACACTCCCAACTCCAACTGTCCTATAATTTCAGGACCAAAATACCCCTTGGCTACCTTTCTCCTCCATCGTAGACTCTTAAGGTTGGAAGGACCCTAGAAATTATCCAGTCTGACTCCTTCATTTTACAGATGAAGAGCGAGGGGCCCAGAGAGGGAAGGCGCTGGCCCAGGGTCAGCCAGCAGGCAGCCCGAGAGCTGGGCCAGGACCTGGAACCTGGGTCTCTGGCACACAACACTGGGGCCTGAGGCCCTTCGGGTGCCCTCTCCTGCCATTTCGCCATCTTTCCTATCTAGTCTCACCCCCTTTGGCCCCTTCTCTATATGCAGCCAGAGAAATCCCTAAATGATGATTCAGTTACTACTCTACCTGCCCGAAACCTTCCCTTGTTCTGCCACTGCCCTTGGGTGGAAACCTATTGCCCTCCCCCTTCCCACCCCTTGCGTTTCCTCTCTTGCTCTTCTTGCCCTGACATATTGTTGTCTCCTGCTCCCAAACTACTTGTAGCCCCATAAATGTGCAGTGTTCTCCCCCATCTTATCCTTAGTACATGCTGCTCCCTCTGCCTTTCACTCTTCCCGACCCTGCTGCACTTGTCTGCTCTTCTTTAGGCTTCCCGTTAGATCTTACTCTTTCCAGGACACCTCCCTGGCCTGCTGACCCTGACCTCCAGGTTAGGTATCCCTACTACGTTCCCTTGTGGCAACTCGGATCTGCCGTCAGTTTCTCCTGCTCCCTGAGAGAAGACTCTGTGATGCTACCAAACCCAAAGTCAGATCCACAGCAACTAGTCAATAAATGTTTGTTGACCAAATGGCCATCAGTGTCCGTCCTTCTCCGAACCTCCTAAGAATGGCCTTCCATTCTCATGATGCATTTTTCAAAGGCTATTTTTTTAGAGCAGTTTTAGGCTCACGACAAAATTGAGAGGAAGGTACAGAGATTTTCGGTATGCCCACTACACCCACGCCTGCGTGGCCTCCCCATTATCAACCCTCTCCACCTGAGTGGTACATTTGCTGAAGCTACACCTCATAGTCATCCAAAGTTTACAGGTGGGTTCACCCTGGTGTAGTACATTCAACGGGTCCGGATGAATGTATAATAACATGGAGCAGGTGACCATGTATCATACAGAGTATCTTCATTGCTCTAAAAATCCCCAGTGCTCTGTTCATCCCATCATACATTTTCAATTTTTTTTTTTTTAACCAAGCACGGCTTTTGCCCAGAGGATTCTGGGAGCCACAATTTCTGATTCCCCAGTCACGCCTTGCCTTTTTTTTTTCATGCCTCTGTGTCTTTGCATGTACTGTTCCTCTACCTGGAATGCCCTTCCCCAACATGCCTGCTAACGAAATCCCTGCTCATTCTTTAAGACCCGTCACTTCCGGTCCCTTTTTCCTGACTGACACCCTACATCTCAGCCAGATGATGAGTTCCCCTGCTCAATCGCCCTTCAGCCCCCAGGAACTCCCCCCTTGGAGGGAGTGAGAGCATCTTTGTCTTCGTATGAAGGATACTTGCAACCAGTTACACAGGAAGGCACACACACATGTTATCTTTGCAGGACAGAAGAGTGTGTGTGGATGCTGACCAATAACCAAAGGGCAGGGGCACCGTGCCAGGGATGAGGCTACTCTCAGCTCCAAACCTGCACTTCTCTTCTCACTTTGCAGTCGGGACCGGGACCACACGACTGACATTTCTGCTCTGCCGATTGACCCCTAGTTAGATGCTGTAAGGCATGCACGCGGAGGCAGAGGGGACACGTTCTCTTCTGGGTGGCTTGGTGCTCCTGTCAGTGTCATGTCAGCAAAAGGCCGATTCACTTCCAGTTTCCAGTTTTCCCCCAGCTCCTAGCATCAGCTTTATAGGCTCTCTCTCCAGAGGCCCCACTGGGCAGTGGGCCCTGCTCAGAGGTCTGGGTCGCCCCTTCTGGGGGTCCCCCTCTCGACCCTCTAGGTTCTAATATCCCAGCCTCAGACTTTCCCCTCCAGAAAAGGGGGGCATCGCTGCTCCCTGCAGTAACTTTCTCTGCTCCCTCAGTGCCCTCCTTTTGCTTTTTCAGTTCTCCAGTATCTCCTGATATTAAATTCTCTCTGTTTTCCTGACTGGACTCTGCCTGATACAGAGACAGGGTTCCTGCTCACATGGATCTTACAGTCTAGGGGGAGAGACAGACAGATGTTCAGCAACTACTCACACAAATGAGGATTTAATTACAGTTCACATAAGTGCTGGGAAGGAAAAGCACAAAGTATATTAGCATGTGAATGGCCCTGGGAAGCCCTTCAATAGATGAAACTGTTTAGCATTGTTTAACTCAGCATCTCTTCAGTTTCCTTGATCAAGAAACTTCGTAGTGAGCCTATTAATGCCCAGAAGAATTAGTGTTCCACACAGTCTACTCTGTTAATGGAAAACCGGAAGTCGTTAAAGAAACTGCCAGGGGACTGGGAGTGTGAGCATTTGCCATGTTCCTCCAGGAGCACCAGTGGCTCAGGGCCCTCTGAGCTCTCAGCTCCAGCGTTCAGCCACATCAGCTGACAATCCCCTTTGCTCTTATTCCAGCCCTACAAAGGCAACTTTCTGATCACCACTGACTCACCGAGTAAATGTCCCTGTAGGGAGAGGAGGCTCTCATCAGCCGGTCCGGGCCTCCTGGTCTCCCTGGCAGTTTCTTTCTCATTTTAGAGCAGAGTTTCTTGACCCGGGTCTTTAGAAGAACCCTCTTAAGACTATATGCAAAATGTGGGCGCCTGGGTGGCTCAGTCGTTAAGCGTCTGCCTTCGGCTCAGGTCATGGTCCCAGGGTCCTGGGATCGAGTCCCGCATCGGGCTCCCTGCTCGGCAGGAAGCCTGCTTCTCGCTCTCCCACTCCCCCCGCTTGTGTTCCTGCTCTCGCTATCTCTCTCTCTGTCAAATAAATAAATAAAATCTTAAAAAAAAAAAAAGACTATATGCAAAATGTGCATGCGTGTGCGTGTGTGTGAACATGTATGTTTGTGTGTGTGCACATGTGGCCATTTTTCTAGGAAGAGGGTGCATAGTTCTTGTTATTCCTTGTGGGACTGTGACTCTAGGAAAGAGAAAGGTTAGGAATCACCATGCTAAAGGAAAATGTTCTTGTTCTAATGTGTACATTGGCCTCCTGTGAGTTTGGTTACTGTGAGTCTCAGTCTGATCAGCTTGCATTCACTTACCAACAGAAGTTCTGGATCCTCCAAGGTACTCCCCCTGGCTGAGGGGCCAGCCAGCATTCTTGGACCACATGCTATCACGCACCTTCTCGACCTTTTTCCCTGTGATCAACTCCCAATTATTCTCTGGGTCTCATTTTAGCTGTCATTTCCTTCTTGAAACCCTCTGACTTTCCAATTCTGGATGAGGTACCCCTTCTCTGTGCTCCCACAGCATCACTCCCTCCTCCCTGGGACTCCCCACCATTACCTCCCCGCCACCCCCATTGTGGGCCATGTTTTCCCCTTTCGTTGTGCTTTTCCGACGACGCAATCAACCCTTTCTGGTACTTGTCTGCTATCTGTCGAAGCACAGGGGTTTTGTGTCTAGCTTTGCCCAGCTTTGCTGCCCACACCAAGCACAGCATCTAGCACAGTGTTCATTAAATACCAGTCAAAGGAAAGCATGCGGAAATCTGTAGTTTAATCCTTTTAGCGCTACCCTCCTGTGCTCTCATAGTTAACCACTACTGTCCTTGGCTTCACTCCATGACTACATAGAGACTCATCAGCCATGAGAACTCCCGACTGTGAACCGTTCAGATCATAATTTTTGTCTTTTGTCAGTAAAAGTTTCTTTCTCACCAACATATGCGCACGGCTACGTGTGGGCGAGAGAAGAGAAAACGCGCGGCCCGGCGTGTCAGGATGGACATACCTGCATTTCTCAGAAAGCGGTTCCTATAGTCCTTGACTATCCTCGTGGCCGGGTTATAGAAGCCATCTCCACAGTCATAACAGCCCTGAGGGATTTTTCTAGGTGGGTCCATGTCGGTGAGTTGAGAGATACCTTGAAAGGGTACAATGGATAATTAACTGGCCACCAAGGCCAAACCGAGACCCAGTCCCCCTCAAGTCCATGTTTGTCCGGTTGCCCATGTGACGAAACGTTCCCTCTTCAGAGCGTGGAGCAAAAGCAATGGGAGCAGTGCCCCAGAGCAGCTTCCTGAAAATGGCTCTGGGAGCAGGGGCTTGGGGACTAGACCCCCAACTTGTTCCCTTGACCCCATCCTCCATTTCTGGGGACACCATGACACGGGCGTAGGTTCTGGAGGCAAAGAGACCCTGAGGATGCATCACAGTCGGCCGTGTGGACAGAAAGGCGTGTCTAGAGGACGGATGGCATGCAAGGGGTGGGCAGAGCCCAGACGTGAGCCATCAGGCCTCACCCAGGAAACCTGGTGGGGCGAGGCGTGTGTAAGGAGAAGAGCAGGAAGAAATGGGTCAGGAGGGCAGGGATCAACCTTGACTCTTACCAGAATTACCACAATGGCTGTCGTTTAGTGAGTGCTTATCCAGTGCCTGGAAATTCATTAAACGCTTGACTCCTACTACTTCACTTAATTCTCACAGCAACCCTGGGGCCCCATTTACAGAGGAGAAAACCGCAGCTCAGAGAGGTCAAGTAACTGGCCCCAGACTCTCCAGCTAGGAAGCAGCAAGGCATGCAGCTGCGAAACTTGTGCGTTAGGCTGCTGACATTGGAACCACCAGGGGCTCAAGAGGGGTTGGTGCACTTTGTAGGTCACACTGCTCTGTGTGTTGTATATCTTGGAATGCTGAGGCCTGAGTAATGGGTACAAGGTTGGAATAAATAACTTCTCGGGTTCGTTCTAACTTGCGTTTCCTGTAATTCCCTGTTCTCTGGACTGAGGCCTGGCTGCCCACCAAGCATAGCACCCTGCTCCCGGTGCAGGGTCCGGTCCTGCACCCAGGCGCTCTTCTGCACGTGTGCACCCTGTTGGCTCACAGTTACTGGGCTCTCGCTCCATGCCAAGCGCTTCCCGGTCAGTCTCTCCCCGGAGCCTCATGCTGCTGGGGAAGGGGCTGCTTGAGCTTCTCCCTGCCCCTGAGGCCGAGAAGCAGCTGTTGCAGGGCCCTGCCGAGTGCCTGGGGACCTGGGAAGGCAGCGGGTACTTGGGATGAAGTTGCCGTGTTGGGAGTCGCCAGAGGAGAAGGAAGGATGCGGGGAGGGTCACCGCACTGCCCGTGAGCCTGGCAGAGCCCTGCCTTTGACAAGACCAGCCGCTGTGTGACAGCTGAAGGCCTGAGGCCTGGGGCTCTCTCTTCGCCTACAGGCTTCTGTTGGGGTGAGGAGCCCATGACAGAGTCCAGGCCCTGTCATAACTAACCCAGGAGGAGCCACGGACAAAGTTCTCAAGGGGGATCTAGACTGGCAGCTCCTTGAAGGCAGAGACTGTCCCCTGGGGACCAGCCAGTGTCTGACACAGAGTAGGTGCTCAGGAAATCTAATGTTATGGCCTTACCCCCCATGCCCCATCTCCCCCTGCTGTGATGTCAGTATTATCCTCCCTGGGTAACTCTTTACTGAGCGCCTACTAAGTGCCAAGCAATGTGCCAGGCACTGGGGACACAGGGGTGATGAAGACAGAGCCCCCGCCCTCACGGAGCTCAGGTGGCATGGGAAGAGACGCTGTGCACTCATGACAGAGCTCTGGGAACCAGCCCTGGCTGCTCTGTGGTATGCCACAGGGAGACCTCGCCTCGTGTGGGAATTCAGGAAAGGGGCTCCAGACCAAGGGACGTTACACTGAGATCTGAAGGCTGGGAAGGAGTTATTTGGGTGATGAGAGAGGGTAGAGCCTCCCAGCAGAGGGAACAGCAGGAAAGAGCGTGGCCTTTTCAAGGAGTAAAGATAGAGCCAGCACGGCGAGGGAGGAGAGAAAATCCAAGAGGGGAAGGTGGTGTGGGCTGAGGCTGGGCACTGGGGCAGGGGCCAGAGAATGCAAGTCATTTTAAGAGTTTGGAACCTTCTCATGAGGGTAGCAAGGAGGCACTCAAGAGTATGTGGCAGGGGTGGGGATGGCAGAGAGTGGCAATCAGAGTCATGTTCTTCAAAGATGAAAGTGACTGCTCCCAGAGTGAGTCAAACCTAGATCTCAGGAGACTAGGTAGTGGAGGGGAAAGTATGGAGGTCTGGGACAGGGCAGCACCAGAGTGGATGAAGGAAACCCCGTGTGGTGCATGGGGTGCTCAGTCAACGGTGATTTAATGAACGCATGAAGGAATGTATTTAAGAGGTAGAATCCACAGGACCAGGTGGTTGCTTGTGCATGGGGAAAGAAGGCAGGACTCGGCCCATCCAGGTGGATGGGGTGACAGTCTCTGAGGGAGCAATCCCTGGGAGAGAAGGAGCTGGTGGGGAAAGGAATGAGTTCTGTGCAGACAAGGTAAAGGGTCCCAAATACAGGTGTTGGGGGAGCTGGCTGCAGGAAACTGGGGCTCGGGAATTTTGATCCTTGTTTGGAAGCTGATGGTATAAACGAAGTCTTAGAGGTGAATCGGCTTGTTTAGGGAGAGGGTACAGAATGTTATGGAAGAGGGCTTAAGGCCAGAGAGCCCTGGGAACCCCCAAATTAATAACTGGGGAGGGGGGAGGAAGAGCTGACAAAGGAGACAAAGGGAGAGAAGGTTCACCTGGTCAACTATCTGATTCAAGGTGACACAGCCAGGGTTTGAGCTCGGGTCTGCCTGACTCCAACCTGGGTGCTTTCTGGAGCTTTCTGCCCTTATGGAGGCTGACTTGCCCAGGCTCATCCCGCTATTGAGAGAGAATTGAGGACTCAAACCCAGAACCTTCCAGTTCCAGGCTCTGTCAACTCCACCATAACATGTCATAAGTTAGGATTGATTCTGATAGTTTGCACAGTCATCTTCCCATTTGTCATTTTGGATGTATTGTCTCGGCTGCGCCAATGCCTATGCTCTTGATTGAGGTGCAGCTGACCGCACGCAAGCCCTGGAAACACCCGTGAGCCCCTTCAGTGGCTGCTCTCTGAATCCAGAGTCTAGGCCCACTTGTCACTGTCGGTGACGGAACACCATTTCTGATGATACAGGGGACACGGAGAGGAAGACCTGGCCCCCCCAGGGAGCTCTACCACTGGGAAGCCGGTCTGGAGTCCTTAGCCTCGGTTTCCTCCTCTACAACATGGGACCAGAAAGGCAGGCGTGACGGGGTCATCTGGAGATTCTGTGAGACAGGCATCACACGGAACCTCAGCCGGAGCCTGGTACACAGGGCACATGCTCCTTCGGGGCGGCTCAGTTTCCACAGCTCAGATGGGCTGAGCACCCGCTGCGCTCCAGACCCTGCTGGAAACGCTTTCCGTGCATGATCTTACTTACAACAGACTTGCGAGGTGGATGATGCTATCGTCCCCTTTTGCAGGAGGGAAACCGAGGCACCGAGCGGTGCATGCCCTGCCTGTGGTCCCCCCGCTGGTACGGTGGAGATCTGCGGGTGACCTCAAATGGGCCTCAAGTGGCCCCTTACGTAAGGCTGCCTTTCGTTTCCCTCTCGGTCTGGGTGTGAAGGGAAGGGAGGGTGCCCGGTACCTGCAGGCTTCAAGCCATGGCAGATCTCGGTGTAAAACCTGCGATCGCAGCTGTCGCAGTAATGCCAGTGCTGGGCGTCGAACTGCAGCCCGTCCGAGAAGGTGTACGTGCCCTGGAAGACAAGGAGCACGCGCGCTGGTGGAGGAAGCCCTTCTGCCGAGAAGGACGGGTGTCATGGCCAGACGTGGCTTCCTCACCTGCTCGTTGCCACAGAGGAGCAGTGAGAGCTCTCCCAGTTATCGGGGGGGGGGGGGGGGGGCGGGGGGGGGAGCGTGACGGTTAGAAGGAACAGCTAGAGGGCTGGGCTCTGTGACTGGCACTCAAAATGTGGCCACTCTCCGCACGACGCGGGGCATATGACCCCACCCTCGGTTTCCTCGTTTGTAAAACTGCCCCCTAACGGTATATATTTAACGGGGTTGATTCGATGAGGCCGTACTGGCAAAGCGTATGGCACAGTGCCCGGCGCGGAGTAAGCATTCAGTCATAGCTAAAACGGTCCACAGCCACCGGCCACAGCCCTTTGTCCACACATGTACATTCTGCTTCTGCTGCCCCAGGGCTGAAGGAATCCCCGGGACGCAGAGGTCGCATTGGCCTGGGCATCAGGAAACGTAGGTGGAAATTCCGATACTATTAATTCACCGTGTGGCCTTGGGTAAGTCACATCCCCTTCCTGAGGCTTAGATTCTCCAAGCTGTAAAACAAGGAATGCTCCTTAACCTTTTTAAGGTGGGCATTAGTGAAACCGATGAGAGCCGTAGGTCTTTCCCCAGAGAGAACCACAGTCCCAGATACACAGAAATTTTTGCATATAAAGCGGGAGGTTCTACTGACCCCCTGAAGTGTATGCATGGCCCATAAATCCCAGGGGGGATTGGACGGGTTAGATGACTTATGATAGCAGCAGAGGTGGTGGCAGAAGTACTAAGACCTAGCACTGAGTGCCTGCTGTATGCCAGGTACCGAGCACAGCACTTAGAGATACCACCTCATTTACACTCACAACCGTCCCAGGCGGTGGCTAGGGCTATTGTGGCAGGCTGAACGAAGGTCCCCCCCAAGATATCCACATCTACCGGCTGGAACCTGTAAAAATGTTGACCTCATATGGCACAAGGTACTTTGCAGATGTGATTAAGTGAAGGATCTTGAAATGGGGAGATTTTCCTGGATTATCTGGGTGGGCCCAATATAATCACAAGGGTCCTTGTAAGAGGGAAGCAAGGGAGTCAGAGGGATAGAGGACAAGATGATGACAAAAGCAGACAGAAGGTGATGTGATGATAGAAGCAGAGGTCAGATTGATGCCTGGCCACCAGCCAAGGAATGCAGGAAACTTCTGGAAGATGGAAAAGGTAAGGAAATGGATCTCCCCCATAGCCTCTGGAAGGAATGCAGCACCACGGACTTATTTTAGACTTCTGACTTCCAGAACTGTAAGGTAATAAATTTCTATTGTTTGAAGGCACTGAGTTTATAGTCATTTGTTATAGGAGCAATATGAGGTACAACTATTGTCCCCAGTTTATAGGGGAAGTCATGGGCCCAAGGTCACCCAGTTAGTGGCACAATAGGATTCAAACTCATCATGGCCTCTCCAGGGGCCCTTCTGGATCCAGAGGAGTAGATCCCAGAGCCCTGGGAGATCGGTTGGAGGGCAGCAGGGGAATGGAAGGAGGTGGGCACCAGATGGAGAGGTCGGGGTGCTCTGCAGTGGGGGCTCTTCCTGTCCAAGGCTTTGCCCTCTGCAACCTCCCCTCCCCAGGCTGATCACCTTCACGACCAGTCCCTTTTCCCAAATGGCATCATGGCGGCTCCCGCTGGGGAAGTACAGGGTTCCTTGGCCATGAAACATGCCGTCCTTCATTTCTCCGACGTATTTCGTTTTGGTAGGGAGGATGTATTCGGCTACGCCCTCCATCCTGCAAGCACAAAGGGAAATCCGTAGACTGTGACTAGCAGCTGGGGTATCGGAGCTGGCACAAGAGAGCAAGTGGGACCCTCACTCTCGGGGTCCTCAGGGCTTACTGTCCCAGTAATATTCTGTTCAAAAACAACATTTTGTTTTGTTTCCCTCAAAAACTCCAAAATGAGAGGGTCTGTGTTGGTGAAGGTGGGGGACGGGGCACAGAGTTTTGTTGGTTTGTCTTCCCCCTCACCTAGAGGCTGTCCTGGGGTTCACACATCCCATAACACAGCCCTTGGTAGGCCCAGAGTTGGGAGGGATGTGCCCAAAGCCACACAGTAAGCTCTGGGAAGCAGAGATCTGGGCCAGATTTCCTGGCAGCTGGTTCTGTGTCCTCCCTGTCCCCCATGACCAGCCCACCCCTGTCCTTTATACCACTTGTAGAGAATTGGGAAAAGGATGAAGTTCAGACAGAGGACATAGGCCTGAATCTTTCTTCACCATTTCCTAGATGTATCGTCTTGGAGACCTTCCTAAACCTTTTTGTTTTCCTTCCTTCCTTCCTTTTTTCCCAACAAATATTTACAGAGCGGCTACTACATATCAACACCTACCGCACGTGCTGAGTTTTTGGTCTGCTGGGTACAACAAGGTCACAGCAGTGATCAAGGCATATGCTGTCCCTGCCATCAAGGGGGCTCATGGTCTAGTGGGAGGCACAATTAAGCAATTGTAGAAGATGTGGGAATTGTCATGTAGGGGGAGGCAGGCCGCTACAGGAGCCCAAGCCAAGGACAGCCAGCTTGACCAGTTGACCACTTACTTCATGTGTGACATGGCTGAGATTAATGCCTAAGATCAACCCAGATAATGTATAATGATTTTCCTAGTAAAGGGCCTGACATCCAGTGAGTGCTGAAGAATTATCCTTTCCTTCATTTCTTCATTCCTGTATTCCTTCTCTATCCTTCCCCCACTGGCTGGAAGTCAGCCTGAACTTCTTCAGGCTTTTGTTTGTACTTCTGTTGGATGCTCAGCACTCTCTACCTTGCATTGTAATTGTATTCCTCATATTCACTATTTAATCAAAGTTCTGGAGAGGAAGACCTTGGCATCCTCAGTTCTTAGAATCATGATTCTGTGCAAACAGGTGCCCTGTAAACAGCTATTATGTAAGGAATGAAGGGAACTGACCGAGGGGATGAAGGAAGATGCCACTGAGGCAAGGCCCCGAGCAGAAGAGCGCTGTCTGTGGTCTAGGCACAATTTCTGAGCCATGCAGACCTGGGGCCGCCAAACCTGAGCCAGGCCTGGCTCCACCTCTGTGTCTGTATGACCTTGGGCCAGCTCCTTCGCCTCTCTGAGCCTGAGTTTCTCATCTGTAAAATGGGGATAATGACAACACTCCTCCCCAAAGTTGAGATAATTGGATGAAATAGTAGCTATGAAACAATAGCAGAATGCCCCAAATAGAGTAAGAGCTCAAACACGATGTTGTGTTTATTCTACTGCAAGACATGGGAGGTGACAGAATGCCTTTTCTCCTTTATGTCTTTACTTGAAATCACAGCTACCATTTCTGTCTCCATCAAAACCCTTCTCTGAGGTTAGACTCCGCTCCCTTTTTTTAAACTGCAAACTGGATGTCAGTGTTCAGACCTTCTACAGACATCTCCAGCTCACCCCAAATGAAATTCATCCTCTCTTCCTCCAAAGCAGCCCCTCCTCAGAGTTCTCAATTTCCACAAATGGTACAAAGCCTAGAGTTGGGCACTGTGCTGGGACTGGAGGCAGTCTCTGAGTGGGACCGGGAGCCAATCAGTTGCCAAGTCCTGGCAATGAAAATTCCCAAACTTCCACGTCTTTGTCTTTCCTGCAGCCCCCCTGCCTCCGCTTTGGTCCAGGGTCCTGTTGCCTTTTACTAAGACAGCTATGGGCTCTGATTTGATCTCCCCATCTCTACTCTGCTTCCCTCCCTCCTTTTTCCCCTTCTCTTCCTCTCTCTTTCCTTCCCTCCCATTTTCCTTTTATTCACTCAAGGCAAAAAGCCTTCATTATAAATTAAAAGTAAGTTAAAAAGAACAAAGAGATAAAGACTCCAATCCATAGTGAGGATACAATTTCATTCATTCATTCATTCATTCATTCAGCCAACATTTACTGAGTGACATATGTGGTATGAAGAGGGATACAGAAATGAAATAAATTAGATTTCCTAATGTCCAGCCCTACCAAGGAGCTATCTATCAGTGGCTCCCCCCATTCACAGAATTGTGCACAGTACTCAAATCTCTCTATGCCAGGACACAGAGCCACCCTAACAGTGCTGGCTCTTACTCTCCTCTAGACACATCCAACATTCCAGTCAAACTGAACAGCCTGCTCCTCCCCTTGTAAGTCCTCTGAACTATTGCTCATGCTGTTCCCTCTGCCTGGAAACATTTTTCACCTTGCATCTCTACCCACCTAAAACCCAACCTTCAGGGCCCATCTCAAATATTTTCTCCTCCAGAAAGCCTTCAAGGACTGCCCCAACTGGATGTGTCCTCTGTAGGAGCTCAGCAGCAGGGTTCCATAGTAGAAAACACATGAACTTTGGAGTCAGACCTGGGTTTTGATCCCTGATCTGCCCAATGCCAAGTAGGTGACTTTGAGCAAGTTACACAGTTACTCTGAGCCTCACTTTTCCCATCTGCAAAATGAGGATGATATCTATCTCACAGGGTTGCTGTGAGGAGGGGAAGATTGAGGCAAAGCCACTATCTGAAATTATCTTCTCGTTTCTTTGCTTATTGGCAGTACACCAGCTAGACTGTAAGCTCCATGACAGCAAGGATCTCGACATTTTTTATATTTTTATCCCCGTATCTAAAATTGGCAGATAGCAAACACAGACGTATATATGGAATGAATATATCTCAGCTCTGATGCTTATTAGATATGTGTCCTTGAGCAAGGCACTTTACTGCACTGGGTCTCATTTTCCTGAACTGTAAAATGGGAATAAACAATCTTACATGAAGTGTTGTCCTTAAGGTTAAAAGGAATAAAGTTTGTCAAAGTGTCTGGTACAGAGTCCTTTGCAAAGGCAAAAAGGCAGCCGTCTTTTCCCAGTCACAGATATTCAAGACATAGTGAATCAGATGAGGCCCTTACCTCCCGTCTACATATTCCCCAATATATTGGCTCCCTGTGTACTCCATGGCGTCAGCCTCTAGCTTCCAGCCCTTGCGATCCTGGAGTCTCACTGCGTCCTGTCTCACTATGACAACCTACATGGGCGGGGCCGACGCGAAGCCCCGCCCCCAGCGCCCGCGGACCTTCCAGGCACTGCGCACGCTCTGTGGCTCGCGGTTGGGCAGAACAGTGCGCCTGCGTGGCCCGCTGCGCAGGCGCAGGCGAGAGGTGGCCCTTGGCGGTCGAAAGGGGAATTCAAGGAGACGGGGGCGACGCGTTTGCGGGAGCCTCCTCGGGTTTGGGGCTACCGCCATCATGCCGGGGATAGTGGAGCTGCCTACTCTGGAGGATCTGAAAGTGCAGGAGGTGAGGCTCGTTCGGAAGCCAGGCAAGCGGGGCATAGGGCTGCAGCTTTCCGGGCCTGGGCCCAGCCCTGCTGCGTCTCCCTGGACTGTGGGCCCCGGCTCCCCCCCACGCAGTGCCTCCCCCCACCCCCCAACACAGACACAGGTCGCTCCCGGACGCCTCCTCCTCACCTCCGGGAATCGCCTCACCTCCACCCCATCATGCAGTGGCTCTGTAGCATTCTCCTCTCCTCCCCCACTCTGACCCCCAGCGATCTGCTTGTCATTTACGTGAATAATAGTGGTACTTTTATTAAGCACCAGCCAGGGCCACTTTTTACTTTAATGTCCCTTAATACTCAGCCTTCCCCGCGAAGTGAATATACAACCCCGGGTTTTTACAGTCGAGCGAGAAAGACAGTCGCTTCCAGGTGGCCTCATCGGTATGGTGTTGGAGTGGAGCTGGGAAGCGGAAGCAAAAGGAGATGATACTGGAGAGTGGAGTTGCTCACAGCCCTGGGAACGTGTTTGGTAATAGGACATTCATTTATTCAGGCGATATCATTGAATAATTGCCATATACACAAACACCAGAGAATAAGAGAGATGGTCCCTGCCCTCAGAGAGCTTATAATCTAATGGGGAGACAGACGTAACGAGGCAGTTACAATATGGTGAAGTTTGTGCTATGAAGTGAAGACGAGACAGTATATACAAATTACAGCATATATGACCAAGCCTTGTCTAGATGTCAGGCAGGATGCTAATTAATTACTTCACATCCATTAATTCATCAAATCCTGCCAGCAGCACCATGAAGTAGGATATTATTGGTCTCTTCATGTGAGAGGTGAGAAAACAGGCCTGGGGAGTAGAAGTCATTTGCCCAGGGTCATATAGCTAGTAAGTGGTGGAGCTGGACTGTGAATCCAGGTCTGAGTGTAAAACCCATGCTTTTAAACTCTTGTATTATGGTATGGGCAAAAGCTGAAAAGAGTGAGAAGGCTTAGCAGAACGTTTTGTGTCTGGGAGACAAGTAAGTGCTGTTTGATGTGACTCTAGGGTTGGTGGGAAGCTCAGCTGTTGCTGAGCCTGGAGAGATGGGTACCTCGGACTGGTAGGACTGGGAAGCAGCTTCTACAAGGCCAGACTTATTTTTAAGTGAGGTGATGGGGAGAGGTGGAAGGTTTTAAGGCACAAGAGTGTCATGGCAGGAGTGGGTAGTAGAAAGTCTAGGTTACATAAAAGGAGAAGGAGGGCAACACTAAAAATTATGTGCCAGAAGTTATATCCCAGAAGTTAGGAAGTTAAGTTACTTTCATGACTTCACTTACTCCTAGATGCCTGTGAGAATGGCAACTATTATTTTCCTCAGATGAAGAACTTTTTGCTACGTTCAGGGACTTTATAGTAAGTGACATTTATAAAGTGGGGGCCTCCAATATTCAGTCTTTGGTTTCTTGTCCCACAGTGAACCTGGGTTAGCCTGAGAGTGCTGTTTTTTTCATGGGAACTTTAATTTGGTTCAGCAAACATCTGAGGTTCAACTTCCTGCAAGTATTCTATATCTGGAATAAACTTGCCTTTAGCGTTCATACAGTTGAATTGAAATACAGATACTTACATAAGTAACTACAAGACAAAGTATGATTAAATGCTATGGAAGAGGGGCAGACATGGTTTAAGAGAAGAGAGCAGGATTTGAAGTTGGATCTAAATTCCAGGCCTAACTGCTCAGTTACCTTGATTAGTCACTTGTAGCATTTGCAGACATAGTTATTTTATTTGTAAGATGAAGTGATTCCAGCTGTATAATTCTCTGAGGCTATAAAGGGAACAGAGAAAGCATTTCTCGGGCATAATGTGAGACTTGGCTAAATAGCGTTTGAAGAATAGCATTTATAGGCCAAGACGGAGTAATGGGCTTTCTAAGCGAGGGTTAGATCTGAGCGAAGGTAAGGAGATGGGAAAATGCAGGTGTCCACAGATGGGTTCTGGGGACAGTGACTTCAATGTTCTGAGACAGCAGCAAGTCCCTTTTTGGAAGTGCCTTGGGTGAGAAGGCTGGATCCAGAAGGCTTTGAATACCCCGTAAAAAGTTTAGGCTTTATTCTGCTGTTAAGCCTGAATCCTTCCAGGGCTTTGTTGCTAATTTGTTTAAATGGAGTACAGTAAGAATTGGCCTTTTAGGAAGATCGCTCTGGCAGCTCTGTGAAGAAATGGATTGAAGGGAGGGAAAGAAAAGCAGGGAGATTAGTCTTGGTGGCTGTTGAAATAATGAGGAGGATATTAATGACCCCAAATAATTGGTGACTGTGCTTACAGAGCAAAAGAACAGATTTATCTGGAAGTCAGACTTAGCAGTGACTTAGGTATCAGAGGCAGAGAGGGTTGAAGAGTCTGTCAGATTTGCAACCTGACAGTGGGGCTGGGGAAGCCAGAGGGAGCAGATTGGAGAGACAAACACGTTTTGGACCTCGTTGACTTTGGAGTTAAAACACATGCCTGTGGAAGAAGCAGTCAGAAGCTTAGGCTGGAAACTCCCTGTACACATTGACAATTTTGAGTAGAAATAATAGTTAATATTTATGATGTGCTAGACACTGTTCTTAATATTTTTATATGTGTTAGCTCATTTAAATTCTCAGTAGTCCTATCAAATAAGTACGATTATTCCCCGTTTTCCATAAATTAAGTAAAATGGAAGGCACAGCATAAATTAAAGACTGTAGAAAGAGGTGCAGACATGGTTTAAGGAAGAGAGCAGGACTGGAGGATTGGTTGTAGACTGTAAGACTTTTTCTGCCTCCCTTTTCACACCCACAGATTGTATAGACCGGCTGTGCGGGGAGGCTGTCATGAGGGTAAATGAGGAAGATGCTGGAACTTTGTGTTCTTTGAGGCAAAGGGAGGTGAATGAATTTGAGAGGATATTCACAGTAAGCAGCTATGAAAGGATGTTGTTTCTGTTGGAACTCATCAGTCTTCGTGAAGAAGCAGGTGAGGGGAGACGGTGACATCCAAAATCCTTTGCCACCTCAGTGAAGGTGATCTCATGCAAAAAGGCCTGATTGAAGGTCAGAGTCTGTGAATTCCAGTTCTGCAGTTGCCACTGACCTGCTGTGTCATCTTGAGCACATCTCTTTCCCCAGGAAAGAGATTCGGTGAGTGGTTATTGTCTTTTATTTTCCTGTGGCAGAGCATATTTTATATGCTCAACAACATGGGTGTGCCTAGATTTTGATAAGACCTCTACATTGGTAGGAAAGTCAGGCAAAGAATGCCATAACTTTTTTGGACACGATAGCTGTGAAGGCATTTGAGTAATTAAATCAGCCATTTAAAGGTCTTTAAGGCATTTGTCAAGGAAGTAAATATAGCTAACTTAGTTTTTTAAAGATATTAAGCTTTAAAAGTTTGAATCTTGATTTTTTTTTTTTAAAGAGGGAGCACGAGTGCATGTGTGCAGGGGGGAGGGGCAGAAGGAGAGGGAGAGAGAATGCCAAGCAGGCTCCACGTCCAGTGCAGAGCCTGACACGGGGCTCGATCGCACAACCCTGAGATCATGACCTGAGCCAAAATCAAGAGTCAGACGCCTAACCGACTGAGCCACCCAGACGCCCCTGAGTCTTGATTTTTATTCTCTCAGCTCTTTACAGGTAATATAGCAAGCAAGAGTATATCCCTCAATTAACCTAAATAAACTCTTACTATAAAAAACTGTAATACAAAATCTTACAGAGTTTTAAACAAATTTATTAGACTTGTCATGGCAGATTTCACTTGTATCATAAGTTTGTCTTTGCTTTGATAATTATAGCAGTTGTAATGTTAGTAGACATCATCCTAACTTTATTCTCCTCTTCCGGTAGTGTGTAGATGAATTACTCTCTTCATCTTTCCTTGCGCCATTTATTTTATTAATAATTTAACCTAAGCTGTGTGAAATTCATAAAAAATAAAATTATAGGGGCACCTGGGTGTCACATTCGGTTAAGTGTCCGACTCTTAGTTTCAGCTCAGGTCGTGATCTCAGGGTTATGAGATCGAGCCCTGTGTCGGGCTCCGCACTCGGTGGGGAGTTTGCTTGAGACCTCTGTCTGCCCCTCCCCTCCATGCACACTCTCTCTCTCTAAAATAAACAAATCTTTAAAACATAAATAAAATTATAAAATTTTTAGCACTATAAAAATAATAATTACAACATTATTCTTAGATGAAAATCCTTAGTAAAATATTTATGAATCAAATCCAATAATATCTTAAAGCATAATACACTGTGGCAGACTAGATTTTATTCTATCTATAATGGGAGAGTTTTGGAAAATCTGTTAGTGCTCTACAGTTACAGATTAATGAAAAAGAAACTCGAAATTTCAGTCTTTCCAGAAAGAACAGTAAAGCAAAGCCAATTCAGAGTAGAAGGAGACTTCCTCACTGAGGAATATCCTAAGAACTACATCCCAGATAACAACAGCAAATGTTGTACCAAACTGTGCTTTAAAGTCTAGAAAAAGGCAAGGATGCCTACTGCCATTGCTGTTCATCTGTATTATCCTAGAGTTCAGTCAAAGCAATAAGATAGGAAAAAAAGAGGAAAAAAAGATACAAATATCATAGAGGAAGGGAGGTAGTTTTTACTTGTAAATGGAGGGGTTTTTTTTCTGTTAATCCTCATTAGTTTTGTATCAGAGCTGACAGGAGTTCAGTAAGATCTGGCTAGAGAGGAGATACAGTGTACAAACAAGCAGTAACCAATTTGAAAATCTAATAGAAAAAAAATCCTATTAAGCTAGTATCAAAAATGTTAAAATGCTGCGGAATTAAACAGAAACGCGCAAGGTTCCTATATGATAGAAACTGTAATTTTAACCAAAGAACCTAAGAATGACTTGAATAAGAGGAGGGACATACTTTATTTTGGTGAGAAGGCATAATTCATGTAGTCTTGTCTCTTCTGTGAGTGTTGGATCCCCGGTGCCTGGCACATGATGAGCACTCACTAGCTGCTTGTGCGAGACACTGTTTTGGGTGCTTGGCGAGCCACAGTAAACACGACATTTAATTATAGTTTCATTTAGGGAGAATTGATATCTTTAGTCTCGGATCTCTGTTGAAAAAAATCCCTACCCTCTTGGAGCTTTTATTCTAGTGGTCACACACACAGTGACCATTGATGATAGCTTTTATAAGGTCAGTAGAAAAAGATCCTCTGAGCAGAGACCCAATATTGTAAACATGCTCGTTGCCTTCTAATTTAATACATGACTAAGCTTTGTGTAGTTCCAATGCAAATTATTGGATGAGGGCGTTCATCTGAACGAACAGCCAGAGTGATTTTGAAAGGGAAGAATGATGAGGAGGGTCATCCTCCCAGCCAGCCAACGTTCTGAGTTACAGTAAGGAAGATGTTGTGGTATGGGCCCAGGAAAAGGGAGGCCGGCAGGACCCTTGCTGCAGCAGCAGTTAGAGGGGCCCTGGTCTATGTGCAGTCCCCTGTGAGCGGAGCTGTAACTACACTGTTTCTCAAGAAAATGTCCAGGGAGGTAAGTGAGAGACTGGCATAGTTATGGGGTGGCTACCTTGGATATAGTCCGTAATTGTAAAAAATTCAGAAATTCTAGTACTTTCTTATTAGTAATAACTTTCTGGACTGGATGCTGTCGTACTGATCCTTTCCAGTCTCATCTTCTGTGATTCTGTAGTCTTCTGGGAAATTTATCTATTCTATCACTTTTATTCCTGGAAAGGAGACTCATCAGAGCTCCACAGAGTTGGGCCCTCCATCATCCTTCAGAGCTCCACTTTTCTCTGTCAGAGAGCTAAGGGTTCTGTTAGGGCTGCCGTTTCCTTATGTCTAAAATGGGGAGTTTAATGTCAACCTAATGAGATTATTGTGAAGGCGTAGAAAATCACGCATGTGAAAGAGCCTTTTGATCTCTAAAGCAGCGGAGATCACAAAGGATTATTATGACAGCCCCCCGTCTTTAATTTTCGTGGCGGAGGCAGACCAGTGCTACTTTTGTGTTCTCTCTGTTTTGAGCAGCAGGAGGTGAAGATGAGGAAGTGATATCCTGGTCACAAATCTGTGGTCTGTCGCCCGTTGTTCTTTCCCCAGGTGAAAGTCAGTTCTTCGGTGCTCAAAGCTGCCGCCCATCACTATGGAGTTCAGTGTGATAAGCCCAACAAAGAGTTCATGCTCTGCCGCTGGGAAGAGAAAGACCCCAGGCGGTGTTTAGAGGAAGGCAAGCTCGTCAACAAGTGTGCTCTGGACTTCTTCAGGTACGACTCTTTCACATCAGTGCTGAGGGGCTGAAACATCTAGGTATATGTATCCCAGTGAACGTCCAGCTATTTAAGTTTTAGTAGGAAATGCAAGACCTTGAAATCAGATAGACCAGAATAAGCCCACAGTAAATGATGCAGTTATTTGTGTTATTTGTTTTTATTATTTGGTGTGTTCTTTAATATCCATGAACCTTAATTTCCAAATTATAGAATAATACCTATCTTATTCAGGATTGTTATGAAAAATCTGTGAAAGTACATAAAACAACTCAGCACAGTGCTTGCTAACAGGTATTCACTAGATTGCTGTTACTACAGAACACTCAGTTATTATGGAGAGAAAAGTGTGTACAGAGTCAAGGTATTAAGTAGGCCATTATGCTTGATACTACAAGTAAAAAAAAAAAATCCAGATTGTAATTGTAGAGAAATGTTTTTTTTTTGTTTTTTTTTTAAAGATTTTATTTATTTATTTGACAGAGAGACACAGCGAGAGAGGAAACACAAGCAGGGGGAGTGGGAGAGGGAGAAGCAGGCTTCCCGCGGAGCAGGGAGCCCGATGCGGGGCTCGATCCCAGGACCCTGGGACCATGACCTGAGCCGAAGGCAGACGCTTAACAACTGAGCCACCCAGGTGCCCCGAGAAATGTTTTGACAGACTCTATTAAAAGGGACAGAAGCTCCACTTGAAGGGAATTGGCTCGTGTAACAGTAAAGTCCAGAAATAGGACTGGGATTGGGCAGGGCTGGAATCAAAGGGCTTACGTAATTTCTTAACTACCTGGTATCTTTTTGCCTCTCTTCTCCTCCCCCAATCTTTGGGTTCTGTTTTTCTCTGTCAGGTTCACTTTCAGAGACTCTTTCCTTGCTGTGGCAGAAGTGGCCACGAGCCACTCCACGCTGCTGTGCTGCTTGCCTAGTAGACGTAGACCAGCCGTGCCAGTTGTCCAGTGGTATGAGCAGGGCTCCCTGGACTGAGTCTCGTTGGCCTGGCTGCTTGATTTCATATGTAAATCTTTGAATCAGGTGTGTTTCAGGAGACAAAATGCTGTGCCTGTTCAGGACTAAAGTGGGGAGTAGACTTAGATTCATCTAAACCACTTTGCTGAGAGATAGGGAGGGATTGTTCCCCAAAGGGAAATTAGAAGGACATTGCAGAAGAATGAGGACTGACTGCTGGCTAGGCAAAACCCACAGATGTCCACTACAGTGACGGGAGAGGGAAAAATAAAATTTCCTTCACATAATAGCTGCTTTCCTTCTTTCTTGCTTCTGCTGTCTTTGTCCATATGCAAAGACATTTTTGTGTTTAAAGTCAGTGTGTGTGGTTTAAAATTCATTTTTCACTGAAACTATTGGGAACGTTCTTTCGCATTGCTAGATTGTCTTCGTGATCGTCATTTTTAATGGCTATATAATATTCCACCGGTAGGTAAACCAACCCTAATTTACCTGACCAATTCCTGTTATTAAACATCATTTTTGGAGTGCCTGGGTGGCTCAGTTGTTAAGCATCTGCCTTCAGCTCAGGTCATGACCCCAGGGTCCTGGGATCGAGCCCCACATCGGGCTCCCTGCTCCGCAGGAAGCCTGCTTCTCCCTCTTCCTCTGCCCCTGCTTGTGTTCCCTCTCTCACTGTGTCACTCTCTCTCTTTCTGTCAAATAAATAAATAAAATCTTAAAAAAAAAAAAAACAACATCATTTTTTATTCCGGTTTTTGATTGTTTTAGATAAATCTTCAGTGATTACCTTTGTGTGTAGAGCTTTTTCTCTTTTTAATTAATTCCGTGGCATAAATTTCTCAGCAGTGAGATTATTCTATAAAAAGGCTTTGAACATTGTTTATGGACCTTGGACTGTAGTTGCCCTTTTTTAAAAAGTTGGGTCAGTTTATGCTGCCCTCAGCACGATATCTTTTTATACCTTGCCAGCATTGCTTATTATTTAAGTATTTGATAGGTACAAAATGATATTTTATTCTTGCTTGAATTTGCATTGGTTTGATTGCTAACAAGTTTGTGTTTACTTTTTAAACTTTTCTAAGAGAACTTTGGAAAAGCATTGCTGCTTTGGCCCAGAGGTAGTACATTTATGTGGGCAATATTTGGATTTCACAAGCTCCTGAGGTTCCCAGCTGCCTCCATGAGAGGAATTTCTCACTGCCAAAGTTGCTCTTTATAGGCGTCAGTAGGTAATAGTTGGGTGTGGGTAACAGGGTCCAGAACCGAGACTGAGTACTCCAGCAGTGCTGGCCGGAGGAATAAAAAACTGGCGTTGGAAACAGTAGCCCACTACCAGAGTGCTTCTCAGGGGAGGTGGGTGCAATTTTGTGTACCGTGGACATCCTGGTCAGTGAGGCTGGAGGCAATTCTGAAAAGCTCCGTAGGGCTTTGCTAGTCCTCCTTCCTTCCTGTGCACACCCTGATCTCTTATACACAGAAGTTACTTTTTCTTCAACCATTTTTGGTGGTCACAAAATGAATTACATGCTACCTTGCTTCTTAACAGAGAATACCAAATATAATTTAACTTTGTTAATGACAGATTAATCTGTTTTTGTTCAGTGCATTAATAGAGTGAGGACTTTGAACTCTGAGGAGCATAGGGTAAGTTTGTCTCTGCACTGAATGACCCCAGGATCTTCCGTGTGTTAGTTTGTGTATTTGCCTTTTATAATTCTCTCTCTTCCTTTGCCATTGTCTGTCACCTCTGACTTTTGTCAACGTGCCCATCTCAGATTATGCTGCCACTTCCAGGTTGGCTAAACTGGCAATCTTTAGAATTGGATCTAAAGGAAAAAAAGGTTAGGCCCTAAGTGAGGAGTGTTCTGTGTAAAATATATGTGCCTTAGACCATGATCTTTTTGCATTTCAACCCATTTAGTTTTGCTGCATAAAGAAATTAGGTCTTCTTCGTCAGAAATCTTTTGCTACTTATTGAGGATCGCCAAGTTGTTTTGTAAGTGAGGTCAGAGCATCTACGCTCCTACCTTCCAGAAAGCAAGGCTACGTATTTGTGGTCTATACTTACTTTTCCGCACTTGTCTGTTTTTCATTATTTTGCAAGGAGCTTCCCTAACACTGCCTTCTCTTGCAGGCAGATAAAGCTTCACTGTGCGGAGCCTTTTACAGACTATTGGACCTGCATTGATTATTCCAGCCTGCAGCTGTTTCGTCGCTGTCGCAAACAGCAGGCTAAGTTTGACGAGTGTGTGCTGGACAAACTGGGCTGGGTGCGACCTGACCTGGGGGAGCTGTCCAAGGTAAAAAGTCTCCTGCTGGGGGTCTCGCCTTCTCACTAAGGGGTGGGTAAGGGCAAGAGGCGGTCAGAAAAGGGTCTTCTGTGAGTACAGTTATGATGGGAGAAATCTGTTATTTACCAAACAGGTTAATGAGGGAGTGATTATACACAATCCAGAAGGGAGTTTATTTAATAGAAATACTCCTTTAAATAGATCTTCCAGCATGTGCAAATTTGTTTTTGTTTAATTAGCTAATTGGAGAACAGAAGGGAGTAGATGAGGATAAACACAATGTTAGGGGGGCACTGGCAGTTGAAAGCATTGAACTTACCGTGGAATTCAGAGAGGAAATAGGATCGAGGGTATGCCAGATTCTTCAGGCCAGATTTATCAGTACCTAAGATTTTTAAAAGTATATCCCTATAGTTTAAAAAGCATGTTTTCCTACTCTTTGTTCTATATTTCCTGTCTCAGTCATGACACCACCATCTCTTGAAACATCAGAAACCTGAATGTCTTTTTTCCTTCATGTCCCCATCTTTCTCCCTTTATACAATCATCCATTCCTGTAGGTAAGCATTTCCTGGATTAGTTTTTGAATCCTCTCACTGTCCCCACATCTTGAACAGGAGTTCTTAACTTAGGCTATGTGAATGTCTGGGAGGGGTGGGTGGTTCAGTTCAGATTTTAGAAGACCTTGTATCACCTGAAATTGAAGAATTTAGGATTATAATTATATCTTCACTATAGGCATGATCTGTGTGGAAAATAAATATCACTTTCTTTTTGAAACTTTTCAGGGGCTTGCTCTTGCTTGCAATATTCTGGCTTACAAGGTCCTTTGTGCGCTGATCTACCCTGTTGCTGCCTTTTTTTTTTTTTTTTTTTTTTTCTTTTAGAGAGGTGGCAGGGTGTGGAGCAGAGGGAGAAGAGAATCTCACGATTCTCACTCAGGGTTCAGTCTCACGACGCTGAGATCATGACCTGAGCCGAAATCAAGAGTCAGACACTTAACTGACTGTGCCACCCAGGCACCCCCGACCTACCCCTGCTTCTTGAGTCTCATTGTCATCCATTCCCTCTGGGACAGATAGGTGTCAAGGTGTGGAGGGAAAACTCAGGTTTGAATGGAGGGAGATAGTATTACTGAATCACTATGGGATCCTGAGCAAATTGCTATTTCCTGTCCTACTACATCTACAAAATAGGACCAGAATTCATTCCTAGTTTTCCGTGAGGATTAAGCTAGAGAGCCTCTGTGAACCTGCAGCCTAATGCCTAGTGCATAGGTCCACAGTTAACCTTTGTTCCCTTCTCTTTATGTATAGTATCTATGGATAGTTGGATCTTAAGCTGGGTGTCATTAGTAGATGAATGGCTTAGCAATTTTGTTTTGTTCAGTTTTGTTTTGTTTTGTCCAGCTTGATTATCTTCAGATGTCTTCTTTTGCTGCCCTGAACAAATAAATCACTTTAAATTGTTGATAACTCTGTGTTGGAAAGTGGTGGGACCTACACATTCACTAATGAAAACAACCTTTTCTCATTTCTATCTCTGATCAAAGGAGAATTAACAAATCATGCTGTTAAGAAAGTATATAGATTCCTGAATCTTTGTGTTTACATTTTTAAAAAACCTATAAAATATTGTCCTCTTTTCAGAAGTTTATTTCTTTAAGAGGATTATCAGTTTTAGTCATACTTAAAATCAGAATCCAGTCTCGTTTTAGAAAGGTGATGACTAGCTGGATAAAGCCTAAATTTTAGCTGCATTCTGCTTCCACCAGGTTTCCCTTCTCCCCTCTGTGCCCCTGGCCAGTTTCTACTCACTCTTCTGCCCTCAGCTTCAGTGTCAGTGTCCTTTGATGTTTCCAACCTTCCTAGGCTGTTGCTCTCTCTCACCCGTAATTCCACCATCCTGGCAAGGTTAACATTGGAGCACCTGCTGTATATCAGGCACCTGACTGTGTAGTATCCTAATTGCACTGTGGGCTAATAGTCCATTGGAGAGATGGGAAATTGAAGGTTGAGTAGGTTGCCCAAGGTTGTGTACCTAGCGATTACTTTGACCACATGCTTCTCCTCCTTTTCTCTTTTGATATGGTACAGAAGAGGAAGTTGTTTTCTTGTTTTTCCACAATAATTTGTCCTTTTAAGGGGTCTGTTCATTACTTTAAGTTTGAGAAACATTTTTCTAGATTTATTTCATACATATCTTGAATTCCTGAAAGGAGCCACACATGCCAGCTGGAGGCATTTGGAGTAACTCTATTAAGCAATAAGGAACCATTAATGATCTCTGTGGTGGAGGGATGAGAATACTATTCTAAAAACAAACAACGACTCTGGACCTTTAGACAGAAGACTTGGGTCCCAGCTCCAGCTCTGACATGTAGTGTGTATCTTTATCATGGACAGGTTAGCCTCCCTGGTCCTCACCTGTGAACTACAGATAATAGTGCCTCATGGCGTGGTTATAGTAATAATTGTGCTATTGTGTTCCTGAAAGCTCCATTCACAGTAAATCGTTTTTGGATTTGTGCATACGGGAAGACTAATCAGTCATATCACATGGAGTGGCTTGAAGATCAGACCACTACATAACAGCACGGTTATTAACTGTGGCCTTGTCTTTCCATTTCTCTGCGTGTTTCCTCATCTTTAAAGTGAGAACAATTTCTGCTGGGTTTCTGGCGGAGATTTTGTGACCATCAGAGCTGATGTGGATGTGACCACCTTCCATCTGTCTCCCTGTTACCATCGTGTAGTGCTATACCATCTTGTCAGGCCTCTTGGCTTGGCTCTCCCAGTTCTGGTCCTGCCCTCCTCTAATCTAGCTTCTGTACCTTCCACCCTGCAGACATGCTTGAATTGCTTCCCTGCTTCGGTGGCACCTGTTACCATTGGATTAAAATTCAAACACTTGACACGTCACTCAGTACCCTTCGTCATCTGGCCCTGACTACCAGTGTAGTACGTTATTTAAAAGCACAGGCTTTGGAATAGTAGGCAGATCCAGCTTCGAGTATTAGTTTTCCCACTATTAGGCAGGTGGCCACAGGGAACCTCTGCAAAATGATCTCATGGGAGTGTGAAAATGAAATGGAATAAGGTGCTCAGTATCGTTTCTAACAAGTGCTTGCTTAGTGCTTCATTTCCCGCCACGATTCAAGCAACCTTTGCTTTGGCCATACTAAAGATACGCCTCTCTGTGTTCACATGTACTGTTTACTTGGAATGTCTTCTCCTGCTAATCTTCCTGCCTGGCTCATGGGCATCCTTTAAGATGAAGCTAAAGGTTACCCCCTCTGAAATCATCCAGCCCCTAGCCTTCAGGATGGGTTACATGTGCAGAGTCCTTGCTCTAAATCCTAAGTCCCAGCACTTAGTTCATGCCTCAGTTGTGATAATTTGGTTGGGAAGTCTTGGTTGATTTTCTTGTCTGGCTCTGTCGGTAGACTGTGAACCCCTTGAGGACAGTGTATATCTTGTTCCCTACTGTATCCCTAGCTTCTACCACATGGAAACCCCCCAAAGAAAGCTTTCTTGAATATTTGTTCAAAGGTCAAATGAGTCTAAATGTGGTTTGCTGAGGCTTGAAAAAAGAGGGGTAGTTGGGGCAGCAGGAGCAGAGAGGAAACGCTGGGAGGTGCGTTCTTGGTCTCAGACTGTTCCACCTGACCTCAGCCTTGCTTCTGTCCTCTTCGCCCCCCCACAGGTCACCAAAGTGAAAACAGATCGACCTTTACCGGAGAATCCCTATCACTCACGAGCAAGACCAGAGCCCAACCCTGAGATAGAAGGAGAGCTGAAGCCTGCCAAACATGGCAGTCGCCTTTTTTTCTGGACCATGTAAAGATGGGTCCATGGCCCACACTCAGTCACACGCCCAGACAACCACTGATGAAATTCCCATGCAGTTTGCATCGACTGATAGAGTGTTCTTTCCGGGATCACAAACCTAACAAAAAAGTTAATTTATGTGACTTGGCAGTTATTCTATACCATTTCCTGGCCATTAAAAATTTTAAAGGAAACAGTTGTATTTTATTATGTTTTATATAACCTTTTGGCCTTTAAAGATGACTTCCCTTTGCTTGTTCTTCTTGTGGTCCTGCCTGTTCCTCTCTCTTCGCTTTAAGTAGGCGTTCACCTACCAACAGGGAGCCACATTTGATCAGGCAGAAATGACTATGTAAAGGGAAGGCCCTCTTACCTGTCTGTGTTCACGCATTTTGAAGTCTTACCTCTCTCCCCATCCAATATCTCAGACAAATAGCTTTCCCCAAAGGTCATACAAGGGAAGCGTCCAAGATAGGAGAAGGGAAGAAATGTTTGAGCCTTGTGACTCAGGCCATGGGAGGGGCCTCCTGGCTGGGTGTTCGGCAGTCTTGCTCAAAGTTTCTTAAAGAACCAAACTTCCACCACTTCCCCTTGATATCCCATCCTCAAGCATTATAACCCAGATGTTTTTCCTGATAGACAAGGGAGGTGGAGGCTGAGCTCCCAGCTCCAAAGCCAGGAAGTCGGGAGGTCTGAGTGTCAATTCCAACCTTGGGTGTGTTCCTTAACCTCTTGTGAGAGGTTGAATTTGAGGACAAACTAAAGGCAACATGCTTATCTACCTCCTGGGCAGGTTAAAGCCACAAGTATTTATAAAGCTCTGGTTCAAAGCACTATTATGTCGTTATTTTCCCTTTCATTCAGTTCCCTTTTCACTACCAGGCTATTTCCTCTACATCTGACTGGGTCGCTCTACACCCTTCTGCTGGTGGCCTTCAATTGCACATGGCCCTGCATAAGTCCTTAGCAGCTCCCTGGGCCTTGGTTTCCTTTCGTGGTGCTCTAAAAAGCAGTTGTCCTGTAAGCCTTTCCAGAGGCCTTTCTAACTCCTACTCTAGAGATGTCCAGGCAGGGAGGCATTAGAGGAGGTGGAGGGCCTGTCGCCCAAAGTGTCAGCACAGTTCCAAGACGAAGCTCTATGTGATCGGCGTGGCCCCTTCCCCACCCTCGTCCTACCCCACAGTTGGGAACACTTGGGGTGGACCTCACACTCACCTGTTCTGCAAAAGTTCCGGCTGCCTTTGCCTCATTCTTGAATTTAATGTAGAAAAAGAATAGAATCTTGAAATTTAAAAACAGCTAAGGCAACATCTATTAGCCTCTTGGTGGCCAGGTAGTTGGAAGTCACCCCTGGTGGGGAAAGTATGAGCATGTTCACAGATTGGCATCTTTGTGACACCTCAAGCTATGTGTTGCTTCTTAGATTCTTTCTGCAAAAGAAGCTGGGACCTGCATGAGTAGTAAATATTCACTGAGCATGATGCATCGTGCCAAGTGCTTCACGTGTCAACTCTTTCAGTGCTCAGCTTTTGAAAGAGTTTCTATTTGTCATGTCCATTTCACAAAGGAACTCTAGCTTAGGGAGAGGTGGAGAAGCCCCAGTCCTCATGAGAAATAGCCGATATGGGATGCAGACGAAGACTGGCTCCAGTCGCCACGCTTGCTCTTTGAAGTCAGTGGTTCTCAGCCTTGGGTGTACGTTCAAGTTACCTGGAGACCTTGAAACATCCATGTCTGGTTCCTGCCCCCGGAGATTCTGATTTAATTAGTCTGCAGTATGACCAGGGCCTGGAGTTTTTGAAAGCTCTCAAGGTTATTCTACGGTCCAACCAGGGGATAGGGTCACTGGTTGTACACATGAAGCAAATCCAGGTTAAGTGCTACTAAGTAGGAAGTGGCTAAGCTGAGACTTAAACCCAGCTGCATCTGGTTCCAAAGTCCATACTCTTAGTATATACCACTGCATGTAAGTCAGTCACATGAGGTCTTCTTAAAATGAAGATTCTGGTTCATCTGGTCTGGAGTAGGTCCTGAGATTGCTAGTAAGCTTCTTGTTGGTGCTGATGCTGCTGGCCCGTGGACCACACTTTTGGTTAACAAGGGATGAAACCACACCATCTGTCTGAGTGGAGGATCTATATCTAATGAATCTATCCTGCTGCAGTGTCTAGCACCAGGTCCTCCCTGATTGTTAATTCACCTTTCTAGAATCAGAGCAACAAGTCCTGAGCTGTTAATAGCTGCAAATTCAATTGTAGGATGTTTTAACTTTTGCCCAAGTTGGACAGAAGTTCTTGCCTTTCTCCCTCCCCACCTTGCTTTGAATTCCTTGAACAAAGAAACTAATGTTTGGCTTTCCTGTATTCTTGATGGAATAACACCACATCATAGCCTTCTAGAACCAAAGAGTCTTAAGTAAAGATAGAATGCCCCAGTCTCTCAGAACAAACGTGTCTCTCAATTTCAGTAGGTAAAAGGTTCCAGAACAACTTGAAAGCAGTTAGTGTGAAAGATCTCTGAGCAAGGCTTCAAATAATAAGAAAATCTTCCTGCTGGTTCGGCTCGAGAATAATGAGACCAATTCCTCCCATTTCCAAAGGAAGTTTATCTGCCTCTTTTCCTCTGCCCAGCCTGTTCCTGTCATCCCTATCTGAGTGAATGGTGTCTCCATCCTTCCAGAGTCAAACATGAGATGCACCTTTTGACTCCTGCTCACTCCTCTCCATGTTCCTGTCCAACACCCAGCCCTGTTGAGTTCCTTCCATAATCTCCTACATTTGTTACTTCCACTTCTATCTCACTGTCACTGTCCTAGCTTGTTTTTGTTCCCCTTGCCTGGATGGTCGACACTACTTCCAAATGGGTCTCCTACTGCCCCCTCGCCCTCCAGTCCATCCTCTGACTTGCTGCATGTACCTCTGCTGTTCCAAAACCTTCAGTGGCTTCCGAGTGGCTGTTGACTAGACCCCGAATCCTTACTGGCATTCTGACACTCCATGATCTGGCCTTAGCCTAGCCCATCTCCCCACGATTATCTTCTCCTTATCATGTGCCCTACAGTCTCCCAAATGCCATTCCTCAGGAGTGTTCTCTGGTTTCCAAATCATCACTGATGCTGCCATCTACTTGCTGGGAAACAACCCTCCCCCCATCTCTGCCTCTTGAAAGTCTACCCATCTCTCAAGGCAAACACGAGTGCTATTTTCCCCAGGAAGTGTCCCCTTCCTATAGCCCGAAGTGGTCTTTCCTGCCCCTTTGTTCCCATGACACAATATAACATGCAGGTTGAGCACAAGGGATCTAGAGTTGGGCTGTCTGGATCTGAATCCAGGCTCTCTCTCCCCAGAGTCTGACCGAGATACCTCCAGCTGTCTCCCCCACCGCTGTTCCCCCCAACTCGATCCATACTGGACTCTGCTCTCTGCCATTTCAGACACCTGCGCCCTTCCTCATGTGCGCCCCCTGCTCCAAAGTTCTCCCTCACCTCTTCTTGGTGAGCCCTTCCCTCAAGATGCAACTCAAATTTGTCTCCTTTGTGAAGACATCCCTCAACTACCCCCAGAGTGAACCACACCTTCCCTTCCTCCATGTTCAAGAGCATCTTTACCATTACAGCTGTTGTACTCCTTGTGAGCAAGAATTGCATCCTATTTTCCAAGGCACATACTTCGTGTCATGGTGGCTGGTGGATAGTCAGTGCTTGATACCTATTTGTTGGATGAATGTTATTCAGCCAGTGGCCTCTCCAAAAGGGAGTAGCTTAGTAACCCATAAATGTGTATCCCTTTGTGTAGAATAAACATGAGAGTGTTTTCTGTTCAAAGAGAGGCGCTGGTTTCTACTGTAATGATTTAGCACCATTGGAGAAAGAAGGAAACCCTCAGGATTTTGGCCTTTTTTTTTTTTTTTTTTTTTCAAAAAGAGCACAGAAATCTCTGTCACAGTCTCAGTAAAAATGCTGTCTGTGAACTGAAGGGAGAATGCATAAAAGGTCAGATTAGGCTATGGTAATAAGAAATATAATTGCATGCTGGTATTCCTTTAATTTGAGGGTTGAATGCAAATTAAGCAGGCATGCCCTTTCTGGAAGCCTTGTTTTAATCAATTCTGCTGCTCTGGTGGAAGAGTTGAAGCTAAAATGGATGATAATAATGTTTCTTTCATTTGCCATCTGAAACTACAGTATTAGGTGATGTGACAGTAGTTTGATGTACAGGCTTTATTCATTCATCCACCCATTCATTCATTCATTCATTCATTCATTCAGATTGTCTGTTGACCATGCAGCACCACTGTGTTGCTGGGTTCCAAGCATCTGAGATTCCCAGTGGTGAAGTCAGCCCCATGAACTTTCAAGTAAAGCCTTTGGCATCTTTTCTTCTCTATCAGTGTGATAAGCAGAGGGCACAGTTGAGGGTGGTGAGGGGGTCCTGTTCCCAGTTCCATCTCTTACCTTGTTGTGTGGCTTTGGCAAAACACTTTCCCCTCTGAGTCAGTTTCTTTAGCTGTAAAGTGAAGTATTGGACTAAGATGGTATCCAGGCTCTTTTCCATGCCAAGAGTTATATGAAACGTTGTTTCTCTGCTAGCCAACTTGTTGGGGGAGATGGTGGAGTTTTATTGATTAGATCTATTTGCCTGAGCAGTTAATTCTGGAAATTTCACTAAAATGAGAAGGGTGTTTCAGGCTTTGTTTTAAATAAATCACCCACAGTGGCATTTAAATGACATGATGTGGGAGAGATTAAGGGAGTTTATCATCTATTTAGAAATTGTTTTCTTTAACTTTCTTGTTATTTGAGGCTGAGTTTGTTCAGAGGATTATTATGAAGGCTTTGCACTTAAGAGTTAAAGGAGGAACCTTTGGAGACCATCCCCTATTTGGACTGCCTTCTGATTGCCAAGTCCAGTCTGAAGCACTCTGCCCTTGTGGGTTCGGACTGGCTGACACTGGAGGCTGGGGCAGCGTGGAGGGCGGGAGTGGGGAGGGTCACCTGGGGGAGCAGGCAGCAGGACCCGGAATATGAGAGGGGACTGGACATTGGAAGCCAAAAGGCCAGCAGTGGGATAAACTGAGACAGAACCAAGGCAGTGTGGTTGGGAGGCAAACATCCTAACAGAGTCACCTACAAAAGCTGTGGGCAGGCAGTATGCAGAAGAGAGCATCAGAATGGCCAGTAAACTTAGGAAAAGAT